GGTACCACTGTATATTCTGGGTGGCTTACATCCAGCACAATAAAATACAAGTGAAAAATCATCGTCTCAGTTCTAAGCACTCAATTTCCACTTTGCCTATCACAAGGGTTTCACTTAGCATCCACCTGTAATTTGGCCAGGCTGCTGAACAGGAGGCTACTTCATAGCTAGGACTGTTTTGGCGTAAACTACTGCCCTCTCAACTAGCTGTCTGAATCAACGGCTTGGGTTTGGTGTTCACTCAACACAGCTTACCATGTTGCAGAAAAGAAAAAAAAAAACTCTGTAAAATTGCATAGAAGAGATAGAGGTCAGGAGACCGTGGTTCACATCTGATCTTTTTTCTGCAAACTCTATACAGCTGCTTTTCCAGACATATTGGTGTCCAGAAATGTTTGCCTCCTTTCCTACCCACTGCCTCTATTATCAGTGTTTTTCAAACTTGACAACATTAAGATGTATGGACTTCAACTCCCAGAATTCCCCCTTGGGGAATTCTGGGAGTTGAAGTCCCTACATGTTAAAATGCCAAGTTTGAAAAACACTGCTCTATGTCAATCTTTTAAACCCAACTTTATAAGCAAACTTATGTTTTTCCCCCATGACTGTACATCAGCCGTTCAGGAGCTTTTCCAGCTAAAAAGTGAGATATAAATATTTTAAATCCACCATGCCGAGAAGCACAGGAATGGTATATTGTTCCATAAAATCCTGTGGGTTGGGAATTACGCCATCTTCTAAGTGTCAGCAAGATGTTGCTTCCTTTTCGGAAAAAGACGACAAGAACGGACCAACATAGCAACCGGCAGCAGTTAGTTCACAAATCAACATCAGTTGCATCAGGGTTTTGCCAAATGTTTCTTGAAAGGAAAGCCCCCGACTGGTTAAGTCCCCATTTCAGCACTTAGTTCACTAGATGACTCAGCCCATACAATGTTTTATCCGGAAGAAACTCTTCCAGATTTGCCCCCTTCTCAGGTTGGTCCTTTATTTTTTTTCCCAAGAAAATAGGGTCACCGTACCCAAGCCCTGCTCTTTTTGTGTGCAAGTCGTAACGTCGGCCGCACCTACGGAAGGAGCGGACCCTGAATTCCCATTTTTTTTAGTTTCTTGGATCCCACAGATGCTTCTGCCTCCACGATCTGCCTATAACCGCAGTGGCAGGCCAGCTCGGGCACACGGCTGCATTGATCCTTGTAGACCAGCGTTGCTCAACCTGGGCAAATTGAAGTTGTGTGGCCTTCAACTCCCAGAATTCCCCAGCCAGCATTTTG